TCCGGTTGGATTTTGCAGTGTGCATACGATGGACACTTCACTATCCCATGATGCCCCGGGAGAGGAGTTATCCAACGAAGAAGACGCTGCTATGAAAACGTATGTCACGTGATGTATCAACATGGCGGATGTAGTACGTCCGAATCTCATTCATACTACCAGGCTTCATACTATACAGTACCTACTGTTTTAACGGTAAGTAGGTACTTCATCTCTTTCAGTACGTACTGTCACAGTATGCGGTTTCGGACACAGCCCATGAATTTCATAAGTTGGGGAGGTAACTATGAAGTTGGTGTTTTCCTTCAACCTTAAAAGGGAAACTGTGAAAGCAACATGTACAGTACTGTAGATACATGTACTATGATTTTGTTCTCATATATTATTAATGTACTTGTGTAATGCTTCAGCAGTGTTTCTTGAAGGCAAGGCAGGAAGCTGATGTGATGCTGAGATGGTGAACAAGTAGAAAAGCCTGAGGATGAAGAAACTGTGCCTATTGTAAACATTCAACAGCATTTTTTTGACTTCTTGTTTATGATACCACTGCTGTTGAGTTTTGTCATTTAAGTTATTACAACCATATTACCTTTTATTCCTTGTTGAAGGTTTCTGGTTTTGTGCTTCTGGTTTATCTGTGAGATTTGCTGCTTGTCTAATTTCTTTCTTTTGATAAACCTGTACTGAAGTGGAGGACTGATTTAGTCAGGCCTGTTGTTTTTTTTTATTTTTTTCCCCTGGCAGATTTTCTACGCAGTGTTGGACCAGATCTACCACGGAAAACCTCAGGACCGCTCCACCACAGAAATCCTGAAGGACATGCAGCAGAAATTCTACGGCTTGCCTTATACACCAAATACCGTACGTCTTTGTGCTATGTAACACACCAACTTATTTTCTTATGAATAACTGGTGTGGCTCCTCATTCAAATGTTTTCCCTGTGCATTTTTGTTAGCTTCTTAGTGCTGTTTGGATGGATGCATGTCACAGAAACAGTCGGTAAACAGCTGTGTGTGGGACTTTAGTGGAGATGGATAAACAAACCGGACGCACATACTAACATTAGGCCGTGCACAACCAGCCACAGCATCACAACAATCTTTTCTCTTATACAAGTAGACCATGATGTTTGAAAACACATTTGTGCCTTGTCCAAGTGGGTTTTGTTGTCCTTTTCTCCTCATTCTGCAATTTGCTAAATAGATCCAATCTTAATGTACATCCATGTATCGGATGGTCTCGACTGTTTGGGGGCAGCCCTAATGATTCCCTATAGATGTTGATCACAAATTGCAGAAATCTTTTACTTTCTCCTTCTTTTGCCTTCCTCTTTCTTTGGTTTTATATCTTTTATTCAGGCACAGCAGCGTTTAAAGGATTGAAGCCTGTTTTTTTTTTTTGTTGTTGTTTTTTTTATCCTGCTAAAACAACAAAGCTGAGGAATACTTTGAATGTTCTTTCCCTGGAGGAAATATTCAAAACTCTTCCTTCTGGTCGTTTAATGAAAAAAACTCCCCATTTCCACCACTTATACAGCTGTGGTGAGGGGATGGGACCAGGAGGGAGAAGGGAATCCAAAACAGGGTCATAATTTATCCAGAAATGGCCTTCATAAAGCATTTACTCTGGGCTATAATTATGTGGGGTGCCGTCAGGAATAGAGATTACAGAACTGCTGTATATTCTCCCAGACGTCGGTGTCCTGGCCAGCATTTTTACTCACAGGAGTCCTCCTACAGCTCTGCTTGTATCCCGCTTTGTAGCTCCCTCTCCAGAGATGGTGGGTAATGTTATACAGTTCCCCACTGTCGCAATCATTCCTCTTCAACTTTTCAAACCATACTGAAAGCTATAACAGACACTTTGCCTCCATGAGCGCAGCTAACCACAGCTGGATTGTTTTCCTCATTTGAACTGAGAAAGATCACAGTGCTTGAGTTTCAAGGATTTGGTCATCCTTGGATCTGAGCAAGTGAAAACAGATTTGCTTAGATCCTTCAATGACAGACTCTACTTAAACTTGCTTTTTTCTTTTTCTGCTTATAATTGACCATCTGAATGTATTTCTCTGCCCATCTTCATGGAAACAGCCTAGGAAAAGTTTCCAGAGTAATGCAAAAGTTTGAGTGGCTAATAGGTTACAGAGAGCTACGGATTATAAACATTGAGGCGATGTTGTCATGTGCATAGTTTATAGAGCGGGGCTATCAGTTCCCGCTGTGTGCTGAGAGAGGATCAGCTGTGAGTAACACAGACCACATGCTAACCCTTTAACCGAAGATAATATTTGGAGAGAAATGGCAGAAAGCAAGATGTTCTACTCTCTGTGTTGACATTTCTTTAATCTGCTTTTTGTGGATCGAATGCTTTAGGATCATGGTTGCTCCCCCTAATCAACACATCCATACTAGATTACT